GTTAACGAAAGTCTAGCTTAAATCTATTTTACTGAAAAATCAATATGTGTCTTTTTCGTTTTAATATAATAATAATAATAATAATAATAACTTTATTTAATTAAGCGCAACAATTCCAACATATGAAGATCAAAGGCGCTGATACAATAAACAATCAGTCAAATATTAAAAGCACATTTAAATAAGTGTGTTTTCAGTCTGGATTTAAAAATGTCTACTGAAGGACTAGAACGAACAGACAGAGGTAATTCATTAAAAAGTTTAGGACCTAAATTTTCAAAAGCACGGTCTTTGTATAACACCTTGGACTTTTTACTACACACCTGACGAGTTTTAATAAGAAACTTTGATTCAGATCTTAAACTACGACTAGGTACATAAAATTCGATTAATTCACATAGATAATTTGGGGCAAAACCATACAAAGATTTATACACTAGTAAAAGTAATTTGAAATTGATTCTTTGTACAACTGGTAACCAATGAAGTTTAATAAAAATGTCTGTAATGTGGTCATATTTTCGAGCACGAGTGACAAGGCGGGCTGCTGCATTTTGTACACGAATAAGAGGTTTTATCTTAGTTACAGGGAGACCAGACAATAATGAATTACAGCTGTCTAAGCGAGAAGATATGAATGCATGTACCAACTTTTCAGTATCAGATTGGGATAATGATTTACGAATACGATTAATATTTCTTAGATGGGAATATCCAGATCTACAAATAGTAGAAATGTGTGTTTCCATAGATAGCTTTTATAGTTTTACTTCGATATTCATTCTAATGTCCATATACTGTTTTATTTATACAGGGTTAGTATAAAGGAATCATCAGTAGCTAAACTAGGATCAGTATGCAGACGTATTTATAGAATATTTTCACATGCTTATTTTCATCATAGGACATTATTTGATGAATATGAGGTAAGTTAACTTCTCGGAAAGCTGAACATTGTTGTATTGTTCACGTCATCACACATTGGCTGATCCATAGATGTCAATGTCTGTTGTTGTTGTCTTTGTCCCCATCAAAGTGACTTTTGACTTCTTCAAAGTTGAATATATTATTAAAAAAAGGTTTATATTTTCATCAACTTTTAAATATTAAATAAAAACTAAAAATCGGTGTGCTAATGATAGATTTAACATATTTTTATTATTGCCCTGTAGAATGAGACTTATCTTTGTCGGCGATTTACAACCTTCGTGGTGAAGTACAATTTGATGTCTAAAGACAATCTGATAGTGCCAATCTTAGAAGAGATTCAACAAGGAGAAACTGATGCCTAGTTGTCAATATTTATTTGTTTGTTTTTATTATTGCATTACTTCTTTATTAAAAACTGTACATATCTCAAAATATCAGTGAAATGACCAGTGGCCTAGAATCTTCAACTGTGCATTCTGTGGTTTACCAAACATTTTCAAGTGTACCAAATTCAGTAAATCAGCTGTTCTGTTGCTCATCCTCCAAAAAGATTGTGTTAATTTAATCATGCAAGTGTCTCCGATGGATCGTGTACAAAGAGTGATTTTGTTTTTGTGTCCGTATGCTTGGTCTGAAATCTGATGTGCTATGATCAGATCTGTACATATATTTTTATTGATTGTTTTAGCTGTTGCAATGATTTGTCAATGAATTTTTTAATAAATATGAATAGATGAGTTATTTTTTTCATATTCTCAGAAATATTTAAAGTTAAGGAAGATTTATACTACTAAGGTTCTCATGTTATCAGAAATATTTGAAGTTAACACCTCATCTGCTGTTGCTTTTTTTTTCCATTCACTTCTTCAGTCCGTGTTTACATGTTTTATTTAATTAAGAAGATAGATGAACACAGTGTGCACACTTTTACTGTGAATCTGTTTTTTGGAAGTTTTAGTCTGCAATTAGGAAAGTTTGGGTATTGCTAGTAAAAAAGTACTAGATTGAATTCTCATTTTGTCGCACCTTGGACACTAATATTTTTCATTGGAATCAATAGTCTCATTAGAGGATAGCATTGGATTTAGCTGAACTCTATCATGAAAAATTATTGGTATTTTTCAAGGTAAAGTTGCTCGAGCAAGTTTGTTTAATTTTGTGTTGAAAAATACCAATACCCGGTATCTCTTTTTGATAGAACATTTTGACTGAATAATACACTGTTCTTAAAAAGGCTTGTTGTCAAAATTATCTAAAATTTAAACCATATATTACTTAACGATCAAGTTGAATATGATATTCAAATAGTCAACAAACTAATTAGATCTCTCACTTATTATTTGTAATATTTATAATTTTGAATGTCAACCATTTTATGGGTTTGTCATTATTAGAGTTGAGCTTGACATTTGTAAATTGAGAAGTTATGATGACAATTGTCTTGTGTTGAGTCTGCAGTCATGTAAACATAATAGACATTTCATACTTCAGTTGATTAGTGTTATTTAGACTTTACCCACATATTTATTACTCGCTACATGTGTACATGACATTGTATTTAGTTTTATAGCTGCTTTGATAATTACATTTACTATACTTTAGATCTGTGGGATAAAACAACATTTGGTTGTGTTCATCATGTCCACTCTGGTATTATATTATTCTTGTCATACCAGTAGTTTGCTGTTTGCTAATAAACAATTTTATGTAATGAACAAAAACCACTTTTACGTGACTCGTTTTATTTGAGGGTCTAAGTATTAGGACCTAGTCTCAGGTTTTATAGAGGCACAAGTGTACTTTTAGTTTGCACATAATGGGTCCTTGATACATACACACTTTTATTTGCATGCATTTGCATTTTCAACTCCCAAATACATGTGACCAGTACATACTTGGATACAATTAAAATCTGTAATAATTAGATAAAAATAATTTTAAACAGTGACAAACTGAAGAAAACATGAATATTGGCATGAAGTTAATCATATTTCATGAAGGTCTCCAGATTATTAATCGATCAATCGGCAATTTTCATACAAGGGTCATATGAGTAAAACAAAAACAGCATTTTATGCTATTTATGTACTCTATATAGAAAAATTAGATTATGAAAACTCTTAAACTTTAATTTGAAACTACATGAAGTTTGTGAAACTAGATTGGAAATAACTTTTTAAATAAAAATTGAGAAAGTGGTCTTAGAAACTTGATATCAGTCTTAAACAGCTTATCACGCTTCTGATCTGGGGGCATGCAGTAAATTTACATATATACAAAATTATCCATTAATAATTTACTACCGTAAAATCTGTATTAGAAGCCGCATCCCTAATAGAAGTTGCATCCATTCTATTTGAATAATTGAGAACCAAAAATTCATCATTTCTCATATGTGTAGATGCTCTAATAGAAGCCGCATCCCCTCTGTTGCATTGTACCATTTTAATAGAAGCCGCGGCTTCTAATACAGATTTTACAGTACTCCTAGCCACCGCTGGCCAATTCATTCAAATCAGACCTTGCACAGTCTTCAAGATCAGTGGTTTTTGTGTTGAATATCTATATCTAGTGTAAATCTAGTAGAATTATATTTATTTTGTTTGACTCATAAAAATGTTTTAATTTCCTGCAGCCAATTGTACCAACAAGTGGGAATGCGTTAAGGGGACAAATATTGAAATTATGGGGGTGGCTGGAATAGTGTGACCGGTGCAATGTTTTGTTTTTCTTCAAGTTTTCTTGAATATGAATTTTTTTTTCTCTAAAACAATTTGCATGTATTTTTTGTTCTTTCTCTCTGTCTAACTTGCATTTTTTTTTAAAACAAATCTTCTGGTCAACCCCATTATTACAAATGGTCGAACCCTAAAAGCTGTTATTTTTGTTTAATTGCACTGTGTAGCGCCCTCAGTGTCCTGGTGGTGATTCTGAACGTCTCTATTAACACGGCTATATTTATTGAAAATGAATTAATTTATTAGTCTTGCAGTAAATATTAACAATCTTGGTAAACACTGCAGTCATTGTTTACATTTCTCTCTCAATAAACAACACCTGAAAAAAATTGCGTGTACAATTTTTAACATGGACCTCGATATGTCTAATGAGTAATAACACAATTTTCTCTTTCTTCGTTTTGTAACAAATTTCATAACTCCATCTTTAACGCATTATTTCATGAACATTTAAAAAAAATGACTTTCCTAATAATTCGTGACAACCATAAGTACCTATCTTATGCACATTGATTTTTGATGATTTTTTCCCCCCATTGAACACAAATTGTAGATTTTCCAGTGATTCGTGTTTTGTACGAGAATTAGTTCAGTGGCCATATACTTTTATTGGGGTTTTGTGAATAACAGCATAAAATGCGACCATTTTGTAAGAGATGAGAAAATATGATCATCGGTTTCAATGGATGTCCGCAATTTTTTTTTATTTATTTTTTTTTTGGCGTGGTGCACTATGGGTCATACCAAATAAGTAACTGCGCATGTACCGTGACCTCGGAGGCAATTTTGAAACGTCCAGATGAGTCGTCGGATTATTAGCTGCTTTGTTATTTCGTTTTCCTAGTTTTTGTGTCCCACTGCAAAGACCTGGGAACAAAATACATTTCATCAAGGTTTCATCATGATATTTCCTGGATACAAGCTGGAGTTTCTCCAAAAATAACGGTGAAGCCCAAGTGGAACTGTGTTGTTGTCGTGACTCACAAATTCGGCTGACGCAGTAAAATCAAATACGTAAAAGGAAGTGAGGGAAGTTAACGTCACATATCATTAATCACTGCCAACTGACGTATTTCCACTTAATATCATCATCATGTCTGTGGAAAGACAACCGCTGAGTCCACTGCTTAACATAAACCCTAATCATGCTGTTAGGTAAGTACACCCGGCGACCTTTTTCTTTTGTGTTCCAACTTATTTGCACACCTTAAAATTTGCCCGCAAATTACTAGTATGACGTATACTAAACATTCCCATTTTCCTTCATAAACTCGTTAAAATGGTTTGAAATTGTCTGCTTTGCTCGCTCGTCTTGGCGCTGTCTATGTCTGGGGGTTTTATTATGTTGATGACATCGACGAAGGGGTTGTTTTCTGGGGATAAATTCAACTGTACACAGCAGCGTGCTGGAACGCCCATGGGCGCCATCTGTGTCTGATTTCACGAAACAAAATGCTCATTATGTAATCGATGGGAGGACATTTGTGACCTAATATTTTGGAAACCACGATGAATCATTTGTCTCCTACAATGTAAGTGTTTATTTTTTGTTTCCTTGAAGCCTTGTAAAAACATTGTAATAGAAAATACTAGTAGGGTTTCACCCTAGAACTTAAAAATCTCATTCTACGGTCTTTAGTTTTACATGCCAGTCACTGAAATGTGGTCCATCTCGCTATTGCAACAACAGGCAATTTTTAACTTCCTTTTATTTATGTTTTTCTTGATTATATTTTTTTTGTTAGGCCAATACTGGTAAGGTATTACCAAGTAAGTATATGCAGTTGGACAGTTGTACTACGACAGCTACCCAATTAATAAAATATGCCGACAATAACATAGACGGTTAAGAGTCTATTTTTACCTCAATGGTTGAACTACATGTGTTTTTTTACCTAATATTTTCAGTTCTATTGTTTTCATTTCTGACATAGGGATATTGTGGAATTTCGTCATGAATAATGTCTGCTCTTAAATTTTTTTATTCCCAAACAATTTTTGTAATAATAATATTGACCCTTGATTATTTAGAAACAAATATTTAAGTACAGTTATTCCAATTAAGGGCGTGTAAAACATAAAACAGGGGTGTGGAGTTTTGTGTATATCGCTATTTTGAATATTACGCTGGCAAGTAATTTTTAACCATATGATCTACTAGTATATTTTAACAATATTTCTCCCCTCAAAACTGTATAATACATAACATGCTCATGCATTATGACAAGACATCCTTATACTACCTCATTGCCTAATCACCGTAATGACTGACGTTTAATATCACTATTTGAATGTTTTGAGCAATTTCACAACCAGACTTTCTCGCTCAAATTTTCTGCATCTTTTTCTTATGAACCCTAATTTTGGAGCCAACAGACAAACAAATTCCAGTAAATTTTCAGTTTTTAACTCAAAAGATTTGGCTATTTTTGTCCCAGTTTTCTGAAGGAATGTGCCGACTATAAACAGGACTATTTTGTGAATTAAGTTCTCGAACTTGACAGGTGAACAATTAGTTTTACATGTATTGTTATTTTGCTTGTTCGCATAGATTTTATTTAGCAAATTTTTACTTATTTGCGAAAATAATGATACTAAAAACCAGTGGATGATATATTTTTGAACTGTGTTTCCATATTTGTAGTGTGTGAAAATGAGATAATGTGGGGGCGAGAGTTCATTCACCTTCTTGTGTCTAGACAATTTAGAATTCTGTTGAGGTGTGCATCTACAGTGCATAAATATGTGATTTAACATGCATCTGTAGACACAGTGTACTGGTATATTACTCATCCATCTAAGCATATAATATTACCGGTACTGTTGGTATTTTTTTATATTAAAATTATAATACATAATATGTTTTGTTTTTCTGTTGCCCCCTTCAAATACTACATTATGCTGAATATTAGGCTATAGAATTGATAGAATTAAAAATAGTAATCTGGGAAAATGTGATTAATTGGATATTAATATTCAGTAATATTGTGCCTTTTATAAATACATGTTCAGTTACGCCTTTTTGCTTATCATGAAATATAGAATATTTAAAGCAAGAATCATGATTGACCTCGTTAAGTTTCACTTATTTATTGTAGTATTCACTTATGTTGCATATTTAGGCTGACTACACTTTATAATTAATATATATAGGGTTTTAAAACAAGCTTTTAGCCAGCTTTAAAGCTAGCCTAATGTTGTGCTTTGTCCGTACTGCAAAAGCAGTTTAGTAATTTATCCTCTACAATAGAAGGAGAAATATTTACTGAGTTTAATTTAATTGGATTCCCTGACAATGCATTCAGTTTTTAAACCATAGACCTTATAATATATAGATAGATAGATAGATAAGTGAGTGTTCTTAACTTTTGGCAAAATATTGACAAAACAACAGTTCATAATTAAGTTCTGTATATTAGTACATGGTAAGCATATCTAAATATAGGAAGTTAATTTACTAATATGGTGGTAGCGACTGGTCATGTATAAATACCACAGTACTTAGTGTATTATGTGTCCCTGTGATATCTATGCTAGTGCTTAAATTCAAGTTTTATATGTGACATCACTATTGAAAACTACATTTATTTAAAATTGAGTATCTTAAACAATTTGTTTCCTTTTTTTTGTATTTCTGGGGTAAACAATTATTTATATGATAGTATCATTTCTGTGGTTATAATTAGCACTTTTAGCATCAATGTGTATGTAGTTGTCGTTCATACAAATGTATTGTTTATATACTGTACTTCCCCGATCATCATTTTTAGACATTTCATAAGTTGAGGACATCCTTAGTATCGTCCCAGGGTTTTTTTACCGGGCGTTGACGACATTTGTTAAAATATGTGTGTAGAAAGTGTTTCATTACATAAAAATGGTGATTGGTTCGGTAATTTGTTTTGTGCTTTTATGAGAAAGGTCGCGTTAATTTCAAAGTACATGGCGAATGTATGGAACACGGTTCGCACCCTTTCTATTCTGTTAATTATTCAGGATGAACCCTGATGTTGCAATAGTGAAGTAATCCATATCTCTTTGAGTGGTAGCTTTCGAAACGCCAAAAATGTGACTCTGTAGTCGTGAAACCTTAAGATTGGACATCATTTTACTTTTCCGAATAATCGTGTCCATCAAGATTATCATGAATGGGGTTTGAACGAGTAAACTATTCTTCGACGTGACCTGTTGGCAACTGGGAAAGGTGTTTTAATACTTCCTCTGCCCTCAGTTTACCTTTCGAAAATTGCGAATCACCATTTTTTAGGGGGAAAATATCACATTTTATCATCGCGGTAGTTCACTTCCGCATTGTGTCAATAATCGGGAAATTTAATGAAAGATTTGACCTGTTATGTCAAAGAACACTGTTTTAGGTCAAATTGTGCTGAAAAACATCATGGCAGAAATGGCTTTCCATCAAGAGTTTGTGTATGTTAAAAAACATCCCAATACGAAGATAATGATAAAGATAGACTGTTTTCCCTGCCCATTTTACATGGTAAATTCAGACGGTATGTAAATCATATTGTATTGTAAAAGTGTTGTGCAAATCAATAACAAATTGTTTTGAATTTCATTTAATCTTCAAAAATACATAATATTCCCCCAAGCCCAGCATGGTAAACGAATGATGTAATTTGGCTAATTTTTAATGTTAACCCCCCCTCCCCCGAAAAAAACAACTTTTCTGAGGTGGTCCTCGAGTACAAGCCCATCCCTTACTTTCCCATGTTGAAGCCCCTGGGCTCATGATCAGGGAAGTACAGTAATTAAATGCACATGTTATATGTTGTTTCTGGAGTAAAAAATGATTTATAATGTGGTTATAATTAGAATTTTTTACACCAATGTGTATGTAGCTTGTAGTTCATGGTATGCATATAATTATATGGTAATTAAATGCACATGTTACATGTTGTTGCCTCCTCCTGTGCTCTCATTTACATGATTAGTACATGTATCATGTAGTGCTTTCGCAGCCGTCAAACCTTGATTATGATGACAACAGTTAACACAATTTTGGATATCTGTAAACCATTTCATTCTTCACTGTATGGTATTTGTGTTGACACAATTTAACTAAAGTCACTGTGCTTCATAGGACCACCGAGAAATTTAAACTCGAACAAAATTTTGCTGAAGTGCAAAATTCACCGCAATTTGTCTCTTGTGAAATTAAAGTGATTTACAATGTTATTTGAACTTGTACTTTTCTTGTGTCAATATTAGTTCAATCTACTGAAAAATATTTAATTTTCGCCATTAATTGTCAATATGGTAATTGGTCAGCATTCATGGAGACTAAATTTTGCGATAGTGACCATAAAGATGGTCACTGCTAGTACAAAACATTCTAAAAATACTATTTTGCTGAGAAAAAGTTTTGATCAAATACTAGTACTGTAAAATCTGTATTAGAAGCTGCGGCTTCTATTAAAATAGTACAATTCAACAATGGGATGCGGCTTCCATTAGAGCATCTACACATATGAGAAATGGTGAATTTTTGAGTCTCAATTGTTCAAAAAGAATGAGTGCGACTTGTATTAGAGATGTGGCTTCTAATACAGGTTTTACGATAAGTGATAAGGAGTAAATAAAAATTCTTGGAAAACCTTGACTCATTTCCCTTTAAGCTGTAATGCATTCATCTGGTGATGCAATTTTTTTTCCCATTCATTTTGGCTATTACCGGTAGTGTGTTAAATCATACTTTCTCAACAATTTTTTATTGGGAAACGTCAAAATACATATGGTGGAGGTTCATAATTCAAAATAGCCTTTTACAAACAGTAATTTAGCAAATTGCTTTTCCAGAAGTGTGCTAGTCGTGACCATCCTTATTTATGAGTTTTGTAAACAATTGAGGTGTACATAGAAATATAACTAGTGCTATCTGGTGAATGTACGTGTGTGTGTTGAGTGTTGTGAAGGGATTAACATTATACGTCTCTGGAAGAATGAAGTTTATTGTTCCCTCGGCTATGCCCATATAATATAATATCAAAGGTTAGGTATACTACTCTTGAAACCAAACTGACGTGATCATATGATGCCATTAAAATTATGTTATTATGCCATGCAGACTTCTGAGGTATATATAGAGTATATATAGAGTATAGATAGAGTATAGATAGAGTATAGATAGAGTATGGATAGAGTATGGATAGAGTATGGATAGAGTATGGATAGAGTATGGATAGAGTATGGATAGAGTATGGATAGAGTATGGATAGAGTATGGATAGAGTATGGATAGAGTATGGATAGAGTATGGATAGAGTATGGATAGAGTATGGATAGAGTATGGATAGAATATATATATACCGGTAGTCTGTGCAGTTCAGTTGTGTCAGTCAATAGCACTGCGGAATATCCCGACCACTAGATTGTACGATGAGATGAAAACGTTTGATAGTGCAAGCAGAATGGATTGTCAGGTACAACTGACAAGTGATATTGTTCATGATAGCAAAAATATATAGTATTAGTTTCTCTGTGTCATTACCTACTGACTATTCTGCTATATTATGAAAATAACATTCTTGTGATCAAGTGAGATCTTGTTTAATACATCTAATAAGTAATTAATTTTGCATATAGAGTAACAGCAGTAGAGTACACCATAATCAAAAATGTATTTGTAGATGCATCTGAGAATAACATTTAGTAATAATTATTTGTTTCCTTGTATCATTATAGTCCTTTGCAACAAGCCGGTCATGAATGTCCTAATGAATCAGACATTGAAGATGAAATCTTTTTTGGTGAAATGACCTCCAAAGAGCAAAAGAAGGCCAATAAATTAAAGAGAAGAACAGATGTCTTTGTTCCAGGGTTTCGTTTAGTCCAGCAGGCAGAAATGATACATGCAAAAATAAAAGAAGCAAATGCTGAGTTGTATGCGGAAAACAAAGAAAATGTTGAAGATTTTGCCAGCAGCTCTGCGACAATAGAGATACAAGATACGACCGAAAAACTAGAGCAGCATGAAACGAATGATATCATCAAAATAGAAGTTGTGAAACCAATTACTGAGGAGACTCTACATGATGAGATTAGAAATGAAATTCAAGATCATAACAAAGATGCTGAGAGTCTTTTTCCTGTTCTTGAGGATCCTGCTTACCACGATAAACATAGAGATATAGCTCAGCTGACTGAAACAGCAGATGATCTTGATTATGTATCGGGAAATTTCCTGGAGGCAGCATCTTCTGATAATGAGGGCGACATTTCACAAACTCATTATGTGGGTAATGAAGAGGTTTTTACTGATAAGGCAATTGAAAACGAGACTACGTTGCAGACATTACATAAGGATTTGAGAATTAATTTGCCAGAGAATACGTCGCAGTCTGCCTTGCCAATGTTGAACCCAGTAAAAGAACAGAGTTCATATGTTTATTCCAGTCCTATTCTACTCCCCCACACTGTACCTACTATATTCGGTGCTACTTTCACCCCTTCTATTCCCAAGACGCCATCATTTGCATCTCCACACAGTATGATGAATGCGGATGATATCATTGCTAAGTATGCCAACTCCCCTGTTATCCAGACAAACCACCTTGCCAATAATCAAGCTGCAACAGGACATCTGCAAACTGATGTAATGGCGCCAGTTATTCCTGCAACGACTTCCAATTATGATGAAATAAAAGAACGACTTATCGAGCAGAGGAGACAATTGTTAGCTGAGAAGAAGGCTAGACTTGTCAAGATTAGAGAGGAAAGAGAAAGGTTATTAGGAAGACTTGGAATGGATCTTCCTAAGGTAAATAGTTATATTTTACCAATAATGTTTAGATGAATGTCTAAATCCTGTGGTTAACTATTTTTGTCTGTAAATTTTATGAATTATGCATAATATTGTATAATTTATTTTTTTTGTCTGTCAACACATAAAAACGGTAAAAGCCTCTGCAGACAGTCATGGATTGCCAATATAAAAAAGCTTCGGTAGCCAATGTGTTAAAATAAAATAAATTCTGTGTTTTTTCCATCTTTACCTACCCTTATTTTAGGGGTAATCAAAAAAGTTTGTTTTATGCAAATGAGATGCGAAGTAGCTATGGTCATTCGAGAAATTTTCAGCTCCGCTGTCGACTTTGTCTAGCTGGGCTTATCATACGACTGATTGTCTGTCGTCCATGTCAACTTTTTACTTTTTCGATTTCTTCTTGAAAACTACATGACTGAATGCTTTGATACTGTGTGTATATGTACCTTGGGTAGACCTTTCTTAGATTTGTTCATTTCATAATGATATCTTCAATTTTCTAATTTTGGTGAATACTTTTCTCATTTTTGGTAAAAAGTGATATTTTTAAGTTGATTGTTTCGATATTATACATATAGGTACTACAGATGGACCTTTCTCAGATTCGCTCATTTTGAGATGATTTCTTCAATTCTTTAATTGAGTTGTGCATTGCTAACGATGGAGCTATTTCAGTACTTGGTCTTGGTTGTATGTACCTAAGAAATATATTAAGAAAACTGGATAGTATTTTTCACACTATAGTTAGATTGTGATGATAATCTAAATTAACAGAAAAGCTTACCTTTAATATTAAGAAAAATAATAATGGTATTACCGTTACCGATAGGACCAAATTTGTTTTTATTTATATATAATCAAACACTTACCACAAGAGTAGCACCAATCCTTGTTAGCGAGTCGAATTGATACAACTCTGGTGGTAATCACTTGTGTGCTAGCATCAACCATCTTTGATCCAATTGTGAAACTAATTGTCATGGACATGTAAAATCTGACAAAGCATGCAAAAAAAATATCGTGGATTATATTTATATTTCCACTGTTCAAAAGTGGAACTATTGCTAAAATAATATCTAAAATAACAGTATTTTAAATAAGCTGAAAATTATGCAAAATTGATGGTCAAATCTGCTTTGTCAAAACCAAAGCAGTTATCTAATTAGTGAGCATATTTGCTAACTTGCCACTCCAATACTTCTGAGATATGCTGTAACTGCAACTGAGGGGTGTATAAAGATTTTAATGAGACTATTATTCAGCTTGGCAGCAGCAATCAGCCTGTTTATGTGGTTTGTCCTATGAGCGGATTAGAGTGGAATGTTGTTGTGATTAGCATAAACTGAGGGGTATATTCTGATTCGTTTCACTCCTTGTAACTGGCTCTCCACCAAGCAGCTTGGCATACTAGAATATGAGAGATGACAACTGGTCTTGTTACAAAATTTACCATGTTCATGTAATACCTCAACACATTACAATCCTCTGGCAGTGTTTGGTGTATATGTATTGTGCATCACTTGATTCAGAAATTAATCCCCTTGCTGCACTCCCCTGGAAGATTGCTTGTTTTGTTCTTTAGTTTTTTGAATTAATAATTTAGTGCATTTATATGTCAGCGAAAATAAAACCCAGTGCACAATTGAATCATTTTACAGTACTACATGATGTACAGCAAAGGACAGAATATCATGACCATTTTTAGTACATGCTTGCTGACTGTACGAACTTGCGTCATTTACGTACACCAAGTGTGCTGCATTGTGTGTTGCGTATCTATCAACTTTGGTTAACACTGTGAATGATAATTCATACAAAACGCATAAAATTAGAAAAGGAATGTATCTGAGATGTCATTATTAAATATTAAATAACTTTTATACTTGCGTATTACCGTGTATATATATATGTCTCGGGACTTGAATCAAACGTGCTGTTGTTTTCTTTGGTTGTGTTACCGGTATTCTCATTTGGGACATCAGTGTTTGATTATGTTGCATAACATGGCAATAAGAGCATTTCATATCATTTTAATTATGATAATACATGTACATTATTTTAGGGCTTCATGCTCGCCTATGCATGAATTTATACATATACTTGTAATCACTCAAATTACCTTTATCACTGAATTCTATGCAATTACCTAGTGTTTACAGGTGCTTGGTACGTTTCTTGGATAATAGAAAGGACCTATTGTATGGTCGGTATGCTTATTAAGTCGCTGGTACATTTGCCAGCCACAAGGTAGGAAAGACCCCACCACCCACCCACCCCCACCCCATGACATCAAAATTGCTTGAAAATAACACGATTTACAAAATTTTATTTCGTAACTGTGCAATATCTGGTCTCTGTTTTCAAAATGGCCACGTAGAGGATAGTGTAATTTTGCCGACCCTATTTTAGGTCCTTTTTTATCATCCAAGAAACGTTCCGAGCGTCTATGCTAGTGTTGTGTGTTCCCATTACTGTAGAGACTATGATGGTTTGCATAGCTCATTGTTTTGGGTATGTGGCATTCTCCATTGTCATGCATGATGCACATCCATCATAATTTATACAGTCTCGCTTTTATCATAATGACCATGAATTTTCTATTTTATAATGGCGAGCTTGTGTCAGTTGATTTGAACTCAGATTGGCATCGACTGTATGCAAGTGCTTTACCGTATTTGCTCCATTAAAAGCGCATGTACATGTACACCAAAAGTTGTATTTAATGTATAACAAATCATTATATTGGTAATATGTCTTATTTTGACCATACAATTTTATACACCACTAATTCTCTGGGGCGAAGCTATGTCACAGAAAGTTCTATGTTGCCTGGATGCACACCACTGTACAATATATTTCTATGGGCTATGAGAGAGCTGCTGTGGAATGCTGGTCGAGAAGCCAGTGAAGAAAACCTAAAGTCAAGAAACAGTACAAACTCAACTTTGTGGTAGTCCTGAGCAACCACATTTCTATATAATAACTTTATTGACATTATTCATTTTGAGTAGAACATAGTCAAATCTGTAACTAAATAACAATACATAAACACAGTCCCTCTATCATATGATAGAGGGACTGTGACATAAACAAAAAAACAGACTAAAAAGGTTTAACAAAAAGGGCTTGGAAAAATTAGGGAATTGATAATTACTACATATCACATTACCATACTTTCTTTTATAAAAATGCCAAGCTGTAATAATGAAGAAGTGTTGCCCATAATGTATTTAAAATTTGACTCTTCATCCATCGAATGGAAATTAACAGTTTCATTTCTAATTGAGTCATTGTAATATGTTGTAGGCATTTCATAACATAATGGAATTCATCTTCAATTGAATTTGTATTGCATCTTGTAAGATCCTGTGTTCAAATTTAACTTTTGGCCTTAAGTGCCTGCCTTTCTCAATCATTAAGGGATGGTCACTTACTCTTAGTTTGCATATTCTTTTTCTTATTCCACCATCCTTAATATTATTTATATACTCCTCCATTTTAAATTCAGTTTTGAATAATTTATATGTTCTTTGAATATTTGTATTTGTATATAATATTTATATGCGGGAAATGTAGGGGCAATCTAGTTAAACTATTCATGTAGTCTCACCAACTAGCCCAAAGTACAGTTTTATACGAGTTTTCAGCTTTTATTTTCACTGTGATGGTTAACAGGTGATGAAAAACTAGACAAAATTTAATTTGTTAATATTCCCAGCTTTATACATGTCAAACTTCTAATACAATACAATAGCATTGCTTCATGGGGAAAACACTTCTCATTGTATATACCGGTAATGAAATTTTTATATTGCATTGGGAACTGGTAAAATTATACGTCAATGTTTAGAAATATTAGGATTTATATAAACATTAATCCTTTTCACCCTGTGTCACTGAGTTTTTAGGTATGACCATAGAAACCAGTGTAAAAATAAAAAAATGCTGAGATTGTTTGGTGTCCAGTGTTCCCTCAGGGTAAAACAAACATGACTGAATCTTCAATTGAACTCAATCCTTATCCATTCATTACATGTATATTACAATGAATTTGAATACCTACAACCTGTATTCTTCCTGTTACCTTGCCTGATTAAAATGAAACGTACATTGATGTAATTTGTTCCCCAGACGTGCGTGCAGGCACATAGAAGCCTATTCACTATTGTTTTTTCTGATGTGTTAAAATTACAACCATTCTTTTGTTTACTAAGGACTTTCTAAGGAACAGTCTTTTTAGTTTTGTTCTAAAACCAATTAACACATCATCATATGCAGGCTCCAACATGATGTAGGCATGATTAGGAACATTGCTTGAAGTTCCAATGATACCATGACTAGATTTCTGCAGTATGTACACGCGTTTACTGTATGCTAATGTGACGTACATGTACGTGTCAAGAACGTGTAGGGGATTTCTCAATTTTGGGAAGTGTTTCTCAATTTGAGAAGTTCAGCTGAGACCCTAGAAATTACATAACACCTCAGTACTTGTTTCAGTTAAGGCAGTACCTTGTGTATAGCAAGGTCCTGTTTTGTTACCCAAGTAATTTTGATTCAAATACACATAGAGGTATTACTGTAGAATTTAGTTTCTGTTATTTATTTGTTTATCATTGGTTTGCAGACATCATCTCCGCCACCCACGCCAGATGCACTAGTAAAACCACCACCACCAACCCATGCAGGAGAGGCTGTCACTGATTTGATGAAACAAGTAGAAATCAACAGGCTGTCTGTTCTTAAAATGGTAAGCGTGCATGAATAGTTGTACTATATTGGGGCTCAGAATTTCAAATCAGCTTTCAACAGTGCAGCCATTGTATTTATTTGTAAATAAATAAATAACATTCCAAAGCAGGATTAAATTTGTGTCTGGGTCTGAGTAAAAGCAAATATCTTCAGGATCAACTGATAAGACCTGTAGCTTTGATAAAGCTGATGTGCGACCCCGTTCCAACAATCAGGTCAAATGGAAAAAATAGGTAAACAGGATTCTTAGTTTAGTTTCTTTTTAGTGACAAGGGAAAAAATAAATTGATGTTCAGCAATATTGTCACTTCATATTAATTTGGATACTGTGTGAAGGTTATCACTTTTAAAATTACATGAATAATTAATGAAATAATTTACCTCAGATTATCTAATTGTTGACTAGCACTACTGTGTGGTAACATTCTAGTACTTTTTGGTGGTACAATTTCACTATAAATGTGAATTTCTCGGAATGTCATAAAAATACCTCAAAATATGCACAAAAAGAGAGTATCCCCGATACATGGATTGTATCAACAGACACCAAGTGAAGGTTGATGCATTCTCAGACTGCCTTAGTATCTACCTTGCGGTATCCTCATAACCTTATAATGTACATGTAATATTATTATTAGTCCTCAAAGTCCTCAGCGAAGTTCAAAAACAGGGACTTACAATTCAGTCTCCAACCGTCCGTCGACCCAGAGTCGTATTTCAGAACCCTGTGGCCCAAATCTGTTCATTTTTTGCATGTGCCTAGTACTTCATCTGGGACATGCGCACACGCAGTGGTTTACCCATTCAATTCAAGATGGCTGACTGGCAGCCATTTTTTTTTTTGCATGCTTTGTCAGTTTTTACATGTCCATGACAATTAGTTTCACAATTGGATCAAAGATGGTTGACTGCCTGCACTCTTGCTTTTTGACCATACTACTACTATATCTCTTTACATGATCCTGGACAAATGAAATTCAGTTTGGATACAAAATACTGTATGCATGAATAGCATATCCTGTTAAATTTCTGACCATATATTTCGATTTTGTAAGAATCATTTAATTTCTGTAGATACTACTACTTCCAATTATTCACTCTCAATAACAAACTATGCTTTTGGTCCATATTACAGTCAAACCTCGTTAGTGCGAATATCAAGGCCCCAGGTGAATATATTCGTTATAACCGGTGTTCGTAATAACCGATCACCACTAGAGGGCGCTTTACGGAAACAAACTAATTACCATAAGTCAGGGTAAACAAAACTATGGCGCCATTTTAAACACTAGACCAAGCATTAAAAACACACAAATAGTATTGAAATAAACGTTGTCATGTTTATTAAAATAATATTAAAATGGAAAATACAAATGTTGAATTCGGAATGCTTCATTCTCTGTCCTAAATCTTCGGCCTTTGCCTGGAGGATAGGACCGCTGATTGGGACATTCATAGAACGGGCACTGGTAAACCATTTCAGCAATGCCTGCTCAACGTCGTCGACTTCTGAAAACCGCATTCGCTTCCGGCACGGCTCAATTTTGTTGTGTTCGAACATCTTCAAAACATCAGTTTTTTCTTTAAAATCGTTGACAGTGTATTGGG